TGTGTGTGTGTGTGTGTGTGTGTGTGTGTGTGTGTGTGTGTGTGTGTGCATGGGGGGTGGCGACCCATCAATCAATCAATCAACACATAAAAAGTCCGAAAAAAACAAACAAACGAATATTGATTGATTGACTGATTGATTGTTGAGGCGCCCCCTCGCAATCAATCAATCAATAAATAAATATATAAGAAAAAGCTAACCTACCAGCCGTGCCGCCTGGTCACCTTGTTTACCCGGGCCGTGCAAGGACCAATTGAAAGAAGGTCCCAGCCAAAAAACAAAAATCCAAAAAGTCTGAAAAACAATTATGTTATGAAGAAAAAATAAACTGAACAACTTTTACCTCAGGGTCACATCGAAATTCTTTACCAAATTTAAAATAAAAAATCAAATAAAAAAATATCATTTATTTATTCTATATTTTTGTTTCTCCCCGGTCGGACACGTGGTCCCAGGCAACTCTGGTAGCCTAGCTGCGAAGTGTTTTATAACTGCGCAACCAGCAAAGTAGGTAAGGACTTTACCAAATTTAAAATAAAAAATTTAATTATTTTTTTTCCTTTTTTTTTTGGGCCCAGCCGGGCAACTGGTCCCGGGCACCTCTGGTAGCCTAATTACATACAAAAGACAAAATTAATGTACACACTGCACAGTACACCCAGTTATTAGCAGTTACCGCTGCCAAGCCACAATAATACCCTTCAGTCTCCGTCTTTCTGAGATGCTTCGGCAAACAAAGCACATCTAGGAGTCCATGGTATCGTAAATTAATCCCATGATTCGGACCCCACAGAAGTATATTGCGACCCCCGACGGGAAACTGCCAGTCGCAGTTGAGTCTGCTTCAGTTTGTCCATGTAGCCTTTTTTCGTTGCATTGCCGTCACCTGCCCTGAAACGTGGTCGGCTTTCTAAATTTCCAACCCCTTCCAGTTGGAGCTTCTGAAGCCAATCAGAGATCAGAGGGTATCACCGCTTTGAAGTCTTAGCTTCATTCACTCGACTGTCAGTTATGTACTCGATTTGAAAACTGTTCTTCTCACTCTCTGGCGGTCTTTGTATTTTGTAACGACGATGTCCATCCAAAATCTCTTGCACACAACATTCTGCAGCTCCTGCTCAAAGCACGGTCGCTCCGGCCAATCCCCCAACCAAGATTTGCTTTCATGACAAAATCGGTGCGAAGAGCCTGGATCTGCCCTTCGTGACGGATAACAATATTGTACACCTTGACCTCCTCTCTGTTGTCTTGTGCCAAAAATGATCTATAGTTGTTGAAGCAATTGTGCACATGAGAGCACACACTCGGGCATGTGTGCATGTGTGTGTGTGTGTGTGTGTGTG